TTACCTTACCCTCAGTCAAAAAACTTTTTTCCTTTCCTGTCAAAAGAATCTTGACTGATTAACAAGAAAAGCAAGAATCTGGGAAGAGTTAAAAGGTATTTCAAATTTCCTACGATTCAGACAAGATTCTTTTGACAGGAAAGGAAAAAAGTTTTTTGACTGAGGGCAAGGTAAAAAGAATCTCGACTGATTAACAAGAAAAGCAAGAATCTGGGAAGAGTTAAAGGTATTTCAAATTTCCTGTGATTCAGACAAGATTCTTTTGACAGGAAAGGAAAAAAGTTTTTTGACTGAGGGCAAGGTAAAAAGAATCTCGACTGATTAACAAGAAAAGCAAGAATCTGGGAAGAGTTAAAAGGTATTTCAAATTTCCTACGATTCAGACAAGATTCTTTTGACAGGAAAGGAAAAAAAGATTCTTGACTGATCTTAAAGACAAACGTCGGGTGATATCTTTCTGTACATGCACCTATAAATATATATATATATCAATGTTTGTACGTTATTTATTCATTTTTACAAGACGACAGTTAATAATTACTGTGTTCAATTTAACGAACAAAAGATATTCTTTTCAAATAACTTATGACTTGCATGCCGATATCAAGTAAGTCAAAATATTTAACAGTAACGATCCATTTATTGACCCATTTTAGTGATTTAAATTGTAATCAATTTTAAGATATCAAAAAAAGAAGATTATCCAAACAACGGAATCGCGATGGATCACAGATTGCTGATTCCTGAAGATCAATTAAAAATGACGAATTATAATAGTAGCTAAATCATTTTAATGTAAAAAAATGTTTTAAGTATTTTTCTTCTTATTTAATCTTTATGTAAATAAAATATTTTTTTATGATTTTTTCTCCCGTTAATTTAATGTAATACTTTTTTTTTAATCATTATTGTTTTTTCTAATAAACATATCGGATTCAAGAAAAAAAAGCAATCAGGCAAGAATTTCAAGGCAGGAAGAAGTAGACCAGAAACACCAGAAAAAAGACTAAGGCCAGAAATACAAGAAAAAAAAAGAATCCGATAGAAATTCAAGAACACAAGAATCTTGTCTGACGCCATGATTCTTCCCTCGTCAGGCAAGATTCGGTCTACATGATCCTTACAGAAAGTCAAGATCTGTTTTTTCAGACAAGAATCTTGGTTGTTCTATATGAAACAAGAATCTTGCCTGATTGATCAAGAAAAACAAGAATCTGGCAAGAACAGACCCAAGAACGTCGACTAGTGATTACTACATAGATATATTTACATGCTTTCATATAAATAATTTACTAATCCTCTATAGCAGATAATGTATCCTAGCTAGTTTCTTTGAATCCAACAAGAGTAGATCTGGGTAAGGCTGCTCATCTATCATATCTTCATGTTTCAATCCCATAGATTACGTAAAAAATAAAAAGGATCTTATAAATATATCTATAATGTAGATATATTCATAAAAAATAACTTTCTAATAGTTCTCAAGCGAACAGACAGAGAAAAACCAGTTGCGAGAGAATACATATATCAGATGTATCGTATTAAAAAAAAGAAAAGTTAAAAATATACTTGAGCTCACAATATTTTGTTAGAAGATGAGAAGTAATCGTTTTTTGTTTAAATTCTGATTCAAAGATGACAATTGATGACTGAATCTTCTTCGCCAGATTTCATAGTTGTTAATTTCTTGTATGTATTATTTTTCAGATATGTCTATGTTTCAGATTGGAAATAGCATAGATATTACTTGATACTAATTAGTCTGCATGCTAGTCATAGGAATATTTAGCTTTTGAGAACTAAAACTGAGACACTTAATGGAAAAATATTGTTTTATAGGACTCAAATTTAAGCATTTGATGAAGAAAAACAAGAACTAAAACAATTAGCAATATAATCAGATAAAATTCTACCATGTAGCTTAGTCTTTTCTAAGCTCTACCAAAATAGTTGATGATAGTAAGCTCTTGATGCACTCTTTCTAGCTATGCTACTAAAAAAACAGAAAAAAGCAGATATTTAATGATAAAATGACTTGATTTTCTAAGAGATAAGTTCTAATCAAAGGATTTGTTACTTCTCGAGCTAGAAATACAAACAAAACATTCAATATGGGATTAAATTTGACTCTTTATGAACAATTTCAATCGTCGAAATAGTTGGATATTGAAAAAGTCAAAGAAATCTTCATGTTTTCTTTTTTTTGTTTTTATTATGAGTAAATAAAAATTAATTAAAAAACATACAAAATAATACATAGAAAATGATAAAAATTTAATTTTTAATTGGAATAAATTTCAAAACAACACGTGGTACATATATAAATGGTCGTCGAATTCGAGACAATTTATCAATATCACGTTCATTATCAACAGGTTCCAGCTGATAAGCAAGCAAAATTCGTGCTATAAGCAATTTATGAAGAGAATGTACAAAATTTTCACCAAGACATCGACGACTTCGTCCATTACCAAAACCATGCAATGCCTTACGTTGTTTTTCATTCAATAATTGAAATCGTTCTGGTTGAAAGATCATTGGTTTAGGCCATATATCTTCACAACGATTCAATGTTTGTACATCATACATAACCATTGTCTCTTTTGGAACAGTAACACCACATAATGTCATTTTACAACTTGTCAATTCGGGTACATTAAAAACAAATAAAGGTAATAGACGTTGACATTCGAGTAGAATATGATCAAGATGATCAAGATCATCAAGATCAGTTAATGTAACTGTTTTTTCAATTCCAGGTGGTAAACGATTAAGAATTCGTTCGCGTGCTTCTATTTGTGCTTCAGGATTAAGTGCAAGAAGAATAAGTGTATTAGCTACTGTAGCAGCAATACCATCTGATGGAGCTAAGAGACCTTCAATCATTGTATCTGATAATTCTTCATATGTAATTTCTTTTTTGCGACCTATTCGTTCCATACGTAAATAACGTACAAGAATTGAATCACCATCAGCATCTATTTCAATATTATCTTCTCGTAAATATTCATTCATTATAATACGAAGTAAATTATTCCATTTGTGTCGCAATGTAAGAATCTTTGAACGAAGATAATATGTATATGGTATAAACCATCGTAGACCAGGAATATTAACATAACGTGCATTAAATGTTGCTAACATGACTACTGCAAGTTCATCAACTAGTTCATGTAATTGTGATAAATATCGTGAACTTTTTGTTCCCAAAAACATATCCAAACCAGCATCAAGAGCTAAGTATCGAAATTGACTAGATACATCTAATGGAGTATCACATGCATCAATTACACGAGATTGAAGACGTTGCATAACTAAATCAATTTGATATTCATAACTTGTTTCAAAATATTTTACTTGTTTAATACCAAAGCAAGCATGAAAAAATCGATTTATACGATTCCGATTTCGATAAGTCTTGAAACCTATACCTTCGCCCATTATTAACAATAATGACCAGCCAAGATGAACTACACGTTCGATTGAAGTTTCATCATGTTGCTGCCAAAATTGTCGTACAGCATCAGGATGAGCTAATAAAAGAACCGGTGTTGGACCAACCCAAATTCGATAAACTTGTGGTTTACCTAATTTTGTATTTAAATTAAGTAAATAATGTCCATCAAGGCATGCTTGCATAGCGGGTACATCACCAAATGGAACATGATAAGTAGTTCCGATGACATTTGGCCAATTTCCTGTTGAATTAATTTTTTGATAAGTAAAATAGACAATTAGAATTAAGACAACAAATATCAATATCATTATCTTCATTGTTAGTTCACTTAATAGAATACTAATAATTAAACAGATGATAGACAACAATACTGGAACAGTATTGCCATCGATCTCTGTCACTATAGTTGCAATATTACTTACTGTTGCTTTTTCGGTTGATATTGATTTGGATTTTTGCAATATAATTTCATCTGATTCTATATGTTGAGTCATACCAGTATGTTTTTCTCTCAAACAATCATAATCATCGTACATTGAAATTCAATTTAATTGTTATATAAAGTGATGTGCTTCTTCTTTTCATTCCTTTAAATAGTAGTATCACTTTATTGTGACAGTCAATATACCTTTTTTTTATTGCGGAGTTAGTTCTATTCTCTTTGATATGCGTCGAAAAAGGACGACGTATATACATCATAGAATGTTTAGCATGATTCATCTTACTTTACTTTTTCCTATTCATATTAATTCATCAAAAGATAGTATGTTTAATGAAGTATGACTTCGATAGTTTTTCTTTTCGTCATTAAGTCAATCTGTGAACAAGAATATTTGTGATTATATATCAAAATTAGAAACAAAAAAATTAGCTCAGATTGAGACATTCTACAAATTGGGTCTTATTATGAAGTTGTTCGAAAGAGTATCATATTGAAATGCATTTTGTTTTTCTATTGCATCATTTGTCTTCATACGCATTAATCTCTGTTGTAGGCAACTATGATAGATAAATTTCTCATTACTTATTATTACAAATAGCGACACTATTATAGAATATATTTTTGTAAATAAGAACTTTTCAATGGTTATTTATTTCTAGTTTTCAACAAACATCGAAAATTTTCAAAACAAGCTAACATGTTGATATAATTTGATTTAAGTTATAGTTATATATTTCTAATCTGATCATGATGTGTAGAAACACAATAGGAATCAAAATTATATAGTAAAAATTTGCTTTATTATATATTAAATGACAATCAACGTGTTAAATCAAAAGAAGTCATTCGAAAATAGTAACACCTAGTTTTTGCGACTATTTAATCTTTCTCTTTTCTTCTTGTTTTCTTTTGTCATTTTCTACTAACCTCTTCTTCTCATAGATGACGTCATCACTAGACATAAAGAGATCAAAACAACGTAGAGATTGAATATCGGTATATTAAACAGAATCAAAAAAATAGTTAAGTATACAAACACATGGATAATCTTCTTACTGGTTAACAAGTTCTCTCTATTTTTACTAATCAATACAATTTATTTATTCGTTCTATTTCATGAATTATTGGATGTTTAAAATAATTGATACAAGAACGATACAATTCATAACAGCAACATTTTTCTCGACAAAAAGAAAGAACTAAGTGTTAATAATTATTCATAAGTAAACGGTTGATGAACTATTATAACAGCACAGTTCTGTTTATCAGAACTATTCTGACCCAAATTTAAATTCTTTATGTTTTGTAATTTCCAAAATTTGATACATGCATCATCAAACTACAGCATAGTTTAGAATGAGCATATAATAAGATCGAGCTTTGTTTCAGTCTCGATACGTATCTAACCAAGATGTTTCAGAGAATCACAATCAGAACTGCTGACCTGGTCTGATCTGTTCGTATAATTTTTAGTCTGCCAGCTGGCTAGACCAGGTCGGGCCAAAACTGTTGGCCTAGCTCATAAATGCTACAAATCGGACGCTGATGCCTCGCCTTATTACTGGAGAGTGCTTTAACAAATTGATTTGATTCTAGTAGCAATTCTTAGAACCTAACCTCAATTTAGTAATAGAGAAGTTACGTTCACTGAAAAGGAGCATTTTTAGACCTAAAACGACAAGATACTGAATTTTGCGCGTATGTTGTTTCTAAAATTGTTTGCCAAGTATAGAAGTTCTCGTCTAATTTTATAACTATCAAAAATTCAATACATGTTTTGTTGTAGAAGTTATATTATCGCTTCTTCATGTGCCGTTGAAAGTTGTTTTAGTTATCAAAATTATACTTTTTGAATAATAATAAGCATAGATGACATGATCCAGAGCATATTGCTAACTCTAGTACTATCAAACGAAGTTCATTTATACATCATTGTAGGAAACTCAAAAGCATAAATGTCATGACAACTTTTCATCTTAAAAAAAATTGATCAGTTTTTCATTGTTAAAAATTAAAATTTGACTATAAAAAAAGAAATTCATCTTTCTTTTCTATGCTAATTACAAAGGTTTGATATGTCTCCATATCTTGATTAGCTAACACAATACTATTTTTTACATCCAGAAAATCAAGAAAATAAAAATGGCCAAGGATGGCGAAACGTTTTCAAATTAGGTAAGGCTTAGTATATGATTATTGGTTACTCTACAGAGCTTTTACATATTACCTTGACATAGACTAAAATCAGTTCAGGTAATAAGTCGTTTTAGATTATTTAATTATTTTGGTAATGTGAAAAATACTGTGCTAGTTTGCTCTATTCTTGATCACAAGAATTTATGAATCTTTACTAAGTATAAAAATTTCATACTAAAAAAATCATTTATTTTGATCCGATGACCATGATATGACTAAATTCGTCGGTTGCAACAACGATATCGGATTATCCATATTTGATGATACATTAGAATTATCAAAAATGTCATCCTGATTTTCAAGTTCAAGATCATTTTTTGAGACATTATTGAGATTTGATAAATTTGATGTTTGAATGAAGGGAGAAATTTTAGTCGCAGAAGATATTTCAGTATTTTCATCTCGTGAACTTGTTGGAAGATCAGCGAAATCTACTAAAGACATTTCTTCTGTTGAAAGAGATGATGCTTGGGATTTTGATTTAAAAAAAAAGACATCAAGAATTGATCCGGTGGATCGTTTCGATGTCATAAACTGATTATTATCTCTAATATTGATATTATAAAAGAGAAGTGTTCGGATATGTAGCTGGTTTTATTGTGTTTGGAGAGTATAATTCTAGGATTGGTCTAGTTTACATTTCACTTAGTGTAAAAAATATAAAAGATATCACTAAGGACTATGACGAGATAATAAATGGCTTTTAGTTCCGTCGCATTTCTTGTTTTTTTTTTATCACAATGTGCACACAATCACGCAAAAAAGTTCTACTATAGGCATTAAAGGAAAGTTCGCTTGATCAAAAAGAGTCAAATTCGACAGCGAACAATTTTCAGAGCCTGAATTCAGGTAAGGCTAAGCCTAATAGTGTCAATTTCAGGTAAAACTCAAGCCTAACGAGCCTACAGACTCCGCCGCCTATGAAAATGATCATGATAAAAATATGATGGAAAGAAGTGATAGTTTTTGAATAATTTTCCTATGAAATTATCGTTTTAATTGAAACAATCTAGAAATGGTTCGAAATAAGTGCATAAATGAATTTGTGTTAGTAATAATGCAATGAGTCATTCGCATTAAACAATAGATCATTAGTTATGCTTTATCGACCTCTTCCTATTTTTAACGGATAGATCCTTTCTGAACGACTTCAAAAGATGATAGAATACTCTATGTCTAAAATGATTATGTTAACAATCAGATTGATTGAGATATCCTGAAAATTCAGACACAATTCCGTGCATTCTGTTCATGTGAATTTCATTTGTACTGGAAAAAAGTATGAAATATTAGCCGACTTTTTGTTTCTTTTTTTTTTTAAATTCAGTTTTAACATGCTTATTATCTCTTCTTCTCAACTTGTTCACAATAATGTTTTCTTTTATTTTTTGTTAACGACTTCATTGATAGAGACCATCTCATCAAAACAATTTGTCGTTCAAAACGAGCTCTGTTTTTAGAAAAGAAAAATCTTGGTATTTTTTTCCTCTCTTCCTCAAAATCCTGTCATTTCGACTGATGATGAGAACAGAAAATAGAATAAGTTCTTCTTTTTGTTTGCTGAAGAGCTATTCTTTTCTTATTCTTTTTCTCATTTTTTTTCTCCATGTGAAGAATATTCTTGAGTAAACATCAAAATGCAGAAAAGAGAGAGAAATATTATTCTATAACAGAAAAACGAATTCATCGAACTCATCATTGACATGGGTGAGCCCCAATTAAATGCTTACTAAAAATAGAAACAACATATTAATGTGTCAGTTTTATAATTTACGAAGTTAAAAAAGAAGACTAAAAAAATCTAAAGGAAGTAGTGATCATCTTGGATTTAACCAATGCTACTCTTATTAGTCACAAATATATAAACACAACCGAGTTTAGCAAGAATTGTAGGAGAAAAAAAAGTCGACAACAGGAAAAAATATGATACAACATTCACGATTAGTTCAAGAGGTACGAATATTCTGAACCTTTGATATGTTTCTATCGAGACAGACTATGTTGAAATATCGTTTCGATTAACTAGATTTGACTTTGAATAAGATTATTCTTAAATATTATATAGTAATTCGAAAAATGAAACAAATGAACAACGAGTCTGTGTACATGTCAGATCAATCTCTTACTATCTGCATCATCTATCTGTTAAAACGAATTCAAAAGAATGGGTATGATTATCTTTTTTCTCATGATAATCTTCGTACTCGTGGTCGTCTATATTATTACTCTTGTTCGTCATCATTTTTTCTACTTTGCTCGTCAAAATATTTCCTCGCCTCCATTATCTTCCTTCATTAGAGGTCATCTGTCCACATTGTCGACTGTTCCTCTATTCTCTCGGCAACTGTACGAATGGTCGAAAACATACGGATCGATCTATGGCATTTTTGAAGGTATGTTCTTTCTAAAAGTTTTGATAGTTTTTATTTTGAGAACATCTAAAATTGCTATATTAGTCTGCTTTGTATTTTCTTACTATTCAGACATATAACTATAGTAAATCGAATATTAGTTTGCTATCTATTCAATTCTACTCGGGTATCTTACGATATTTGTTTGTAACTCTTATAAAAATTCAAACTGATTTGAACTGTTCTTTCATTGATTTGTGTAGTTCTTGTTTGATAATATTGTTCTTTTATTGATTCTTGTTTTTATATCTATTATCTGTTTAAAGGTATTCGTTCTACCTATATTGTGTCGGATGTATCCTTTCTTCAAGAAGTACTTATCTCTCAGTTCTCTAAATTCAATAGAAAACGAATAATTTTAATTGGACATGTTATCGGCAAAGAAAAATATGCTATATCGATCGCCGAAGGTCAACAATGGCAACGGCAGCGACGCGTCCTCAATCCGACGTTTTCTTCAACAAAATTGAAACAGATCACACCTCTTTTGAGTGAATGTGTTCAGCTCTTTGTCGAAGCACTCTCGACGAAGATTGGACAGAACATAAATATTTCTGATATTTTCAAACGGCTCACCATGGACACAATCAGTCAGTATCTTAATTTCATCAGAAGTCTCTATAGCTTTTGTGTCAGTTCTTTTGCTATAAGCAACTAAATACATCTTTGAAACTATGCATGCGTAAGATGATGAAATTGTTTTTCGTGATTGCAGACGAAGGAAATCATGAGGAACTCTCTATCTAAGTGTTCAGCTGATTGTTATATAATTAAGACTGTAATTACAAATGATCTATAGTCTATTATGAAAATTTTCAGTTCATTCACCTGTCTGATTTATAAAGATTGAGTCAATGATGAAATTCGAACTGTACTAATGTGTTATAATATTTGTTTTGTTCCAAGAAGTTAAAAAATAGCAAAATACAACAAAAACGAGTAAAATATTTGTCATGGTTGTGATCATACTTGATCTCTATAGTTTCATGCAATGTATTTTCTCTCCTTTCCTTTATTCTATGCTGTGTATTTGTTTTCTTTCTTTATTTTGTGATTATCTCGTTTCATCTTGAGTTCTTATACGCACTCGCCTATTGACTTTCTTCTCGGATTTACAATTCATTCAGAATCCTGTTTAGTTGGTTTTTGATGAGATCTATTGTCTTTTAGGGGACGTTGCTTTCGGTGTCGATCTCGGTGTACAACGAAATCCATCAAATATTTTTCTCGAAAAAACCGAGGAAGTATCAGCTGTCGATTTTGAACGAAGTAGACTTGGCAAGATGAATCGTACTCTGCCGCAATTGGCTTATCTTTGGGCTACTTTTCTCAAACTAGCTCCTCTGTTTGTTGGCGAGCAAATGAGAC